CAAACGGTGCATGTTCTTTCTGATATGAGGAAATTAGACTAAAATACACTCGGTTATGATAAGTTATACAGGGTTCTAGATATTTACACATAGTAGGACCAAAAGAGGATACTCCTTGGAGAAAAACACAAAGACTTAATGCCTTTGTGCCTCTTTATATAAAATAATATGCACATATGGAAACAAACTCCAAGATTTGGAAACAAGAGATCTCTTTTCTTTTTGAAAAACTTTGTAATTAAAAATGTTTTGATTATTTTGCCTTTTCTTTATGTATGATGTATATTTTCAGGAGGGTGCGGATTACAGAGCTCAGTGGGAAAAAGGGTGAAAAAGTGCAGCAATGGAGCTCACTGGACACCCATGAAAGTGAACTATACAACTCTTGGGTGGAGACAGGAGGGAGGGAATGGGAGAGAATGAGGAAACAGAAGACACTGTATGAAGGAAATGTACTCATTACCTGACTCAAGTAGTTGTAATCCCTCTGTATATTACCTTTATTTTTATTTTTGTCAGTCATGGGGCTTGAACTCTGGGCCTGGGCACTGTCCCTGAGCTCTTCAGCTCAAGGTGAGCACTCTACCACTTGAGCCACAGTGCCACTCCTGTTTTCTGGTGGTTACTTGGACATAAGTGTCACAGACTTTCCTGCCCAGGCTGGCTTTGAACCACGATCCTCAGATCTCAGCTTCCTGAGTAGCTGGGATTACAGGTGTGAGCCACTGGCGCCTGGCTTGTATACTACCTTTATAATAACAATAAATTATTTTTTTAAAAGTTACTCAGAACAAGGACTGTATCTCATAAAATCTGACAGAGAGAAAGTAACAGCCTTGTGAGTGTGTGTGTGTGTGTGAGTGTCCTGGGGCTTGAACTCAGGGCCTGGGCGCTATCCCTGAGCTCTTTTTCTCAAGGCTAGCACTCTACCACTTTGAGCCAGTTTTTGAGTGGTTAGAGATAAGAGTCTCACAGAGATTTTTCTGCCCTAGCTGGCTTCAACTACAATCCTCAGATCTCAGCCTTCTGAGTGAGCCACTGGTTCCTGTCCATCTGCCACTTTTATAGGCCTACAAAATATAAATTGGGGAAAATAGACTTACAAACACCAACTACTGAGAAGTCTATTTGACTGATAGGAGACTGGCTAGTGAGGGAGTAGCCATTTTTTTCTCCCTCTTTTTTGTTTTTGTGGTACTCTTGAGTTTGCTAGGTAGTCACTCTATCACATGAATCACGACTCCAGTCCCCCTCCTCTTTTTGCTGGCTATTATTTTGTATATGTGGTGGTACTGTCACTTGACCTCAGGGCCCTATACTGTTGCTTTTTCACTCATAGCTAGTGCTCCTAACACTTGAACCACACCTCCAGTCCAGCATTTTGCTGGTTAATTGGAGATAAAGTCTAACAGACTTTATCACTCACTCTAAACCTAGATCTTCAGATCTCAGTTTCCTGAAGAGCTAGGATTACAGGTGCGATGGAATGTAGCAAACATTTCTGCTGGCCTTGATCTATTATTATTCTCCAGATCTCAGGCTCTTGAGTAGTTAGGATGACAGGTGCTAGCCACTACCACCCAATTTAGCCCTTTCCTTGACTGGTTGGAAGTAGATGCTGGTAGAAGGGCCTTAGTTACCACAATTGGGTGCCAGCTAGCACAGCAGTCCCCAGGTAGGCTTGCAACCAAGGCTGATACTGTTCTTGGTGGAGGCTGTCCCATCTGTAGTCATGCTACCCAAGTAGCAAGGAAAAGTAAACCCTGCCACACTTCTCTAGGGCCTTCATATGTCAGTACCTGTGTCTGAGGTCTGAGGAAAAGGCTTTATCTTAAGCCACTCCCTGTCTAGAAGGTAGTGGGTTGTTAGCTCTAGTCTAATGGAGGCTGGGGTCAATGGGCATTGTGAATGACTTGAGGTGGATCTTCTGGATTCTCATGTTAGCCGTGTTGGATATTCTAGGGTGCCTCTGTGTGTGTGTGTGTGTGTGTGTGTGTGTGTGCATGGGCACATGCTTGTATGCTTTGTTTTAACTCAGGGCCTTGTGCTTATTTATTAGTTAGGTACTCTACCACTTGAGTCACACTTCCAGCCTTTGGGCCATTTCTTATTTACCTTACAGACAGACAGACAGATAGATATAGAGGAGAAACATACATACATACACACAACACACTCACACATATGTAACACAAATATTGCTTGGCACTCTCCTTAGTGCAGTATAGCAATAGTGACAGATCTCTGGGGGAGGAATGGGTCTTCTTCCAGCTGATGTTCTTTTTCTTTACTTTTTTCCATTGAGACATTTTCCTGAGATCAGAGAATGGGTAGAGTTCTGTGGAAATTATAATTCTAAACTCTATTTGAAAGGGATTCCCCCGGTAGTAAGGTATTCTGATTTATGAACAAGTGAGAGTCTGGGCTGTGGCACCAGCTGTACTTTCCGTTGCCTGGTTTGTGCTGGGCAAGGTGCACTTTCCTGACAACAGGCTGAGGGCTTGCTGCTCTGAGACGTGCATTTCCCCTTTGTCCCAGCTCAGATTTTCTTTTAACTCTTATGTGAAAGACACTGAAATGAAACAACTACAAAGCAAATCTCCCTAATCTTCTGAGTATGTGGGAGATGTTAGAGAACAGTGATTCTCCAACTTGGCCCTGTGTTAGAATCACGTGGGGTTAAAACAAAAATTTCTTACCCATCAAAGATTCTGACTTAATTGGTCTGGATGCCACTTTAACCTTGGGCCTTTAAAAGTTTCTCAGCTGAGCATGGTGATACATTCCTATAATCCCAGTATTTGGGAGGATGAGGCAAAAGGAGTTCATGCCAGCCTCGTTTATACAGTGAGACTTAGTTTCAAAAGCTGGTAAGATAAAAACAAAAGCTTCTTCAGTGATAGTGTGGATCCAAGTCAAGAGAACCACTATTACAGAAGTTTTCTTTGTAGATAAGAAATCCCAAGAAATCTACCAAAAAACAACCTGAACTAATAAACTATCAAGGTTGAAGGGTACAAAATCTATGCATAAAAATCTCCCTACTTTGCCAACTGGATGGCTTGGTATGGGCCATCCAGTTTTTTGTTTGTTTGTTTAATGTACGTGGATCTAAATGTATACACAATGGTCAGTAACTTTTTGTGTGTGTGTCCTAGTCCTGGGGTTTAACCAGGACCCAGCCAGAGCATTGTCCCTGGGTTTCTTTGCTTAAGACTAGCACTCTACCTCTTTGAGCCACAGCTCCACTTTTGGCCTTTTGGTAGTTTTAGAGATAAGAGTCTCACAGACTTTCCTGCTCAGGCTGGTTTTGAACCTTGAGCCTCAGATCTCAGCCTTCTGAGTAGCTAGGATTATAAGTGTGAACTACCATGCCCTAATAACTAGGATTTATACTCAGGGCCTCATGCTTGCTAGGTAGGCCCTCTACCACTGAGCTATGCCTCCAGCCCCTTTTAATTTTGAAATAGAGGCTCTGCCTGAACATGCTGTGATCTGCCTATTTGAGTCTTCACTCTCATCTGGGATGGGAAGGTGTGGGATGACAGGTGTGTTGTACCACAACAAACTTTTCTCTGTTGAGAATGGAGTCTTAAAGAGTTTCTGTCCCAGCTGGCCTGCAACCACAATCCTCTCAACTTTAGCCTCCCACATAGTTGTAGATAAGATGAAGGTGCCCCACCATATTGGTTCAAGAAGTGGTCTTTGCGAGCTTTGTTGCCTGGGATGGTCCATGCTTGTAAGATTTTCAAGAGCTCTCTAAAAACATAGTATGAATTTCCCCTTAAGCCTGTATAATCATCTTCCCCGTGAATCCACAGACTGTAGGGTTCTTTTGTTTTGTTTTGTTTTGGTCCGGTCGTGGGGCCTGAACTCTGGGCCTGGGCGCTGCCCCTCAGCTCTTCAGCTCAAGGCTAGCACTCTACCACTTGAGCCACAGAGCCACTTCCAGCTTTTTCTGTTTATGTGGTGCTGAGCAATCTAACGCAGGGCCTCATGCATGCGAGGCAAGCACCACCACTGAGCCACCTTCCCAGCCCAGACTGTAGGATTCTAGGCTTAGTATAGAATGGAACCTTGATACTCATTGTGGTTGTTGGATGGAGTTGACCTTCAAGTATTCCATTCCAAACGAGGTAATATAGGAGGGAAAGCATCCAGCAAAATTGAATCTAAAGGCATTTTTGGCTTCACGTAGCATCATTGAATACATCCAGAGGGGTGAATGGAGTGACCCTCACCCTGGCCACTGCTTCACTCTGTGTTTTCCAACTTTATTGCTTCATTGTCAGATAGTAGCAGACTGATTTATCCTTAAAGATGGAGGTACTTTCTGTAGATGACCTCCTTGGTTCTCTCTCATCTTTATTACTTTGGGCAGATCTAATATGTAGCATTCCTTCTAACAACTCCCATATGGGGCTTGTTAAATGAAGCTCAAATTCAGTAGATCTGGGGTGGCTGAGGTGCTGGAGATAAACAATGTGTGCTTGGATTTCAGAAGCAAAGCATCTAGCAAGGCTACCTGTTTGAGTCTAAAGCCATTACTGGCTTCAGGTCATTGAATCTACCCAGAGGGTGGAGATGAAGTCACCCAACTGTTTTTGTTGTTGTTTGTGGGGCTTGGACTCAGGACTTGGGTGCTGTCCTTGAGCTCTTTTGCTCAAGGCGAGTGCTCTACCACTTTGAGCCACAGTGCTACTTCCGGATTTTAGGTGAATAAATTGGATGTAAGAGTCTCACAGACATTTCTGCCCGGGGCTGGCTTTGAACATGATCCTCTGATTTCAGCCTCCTGAGTAGCTAGGATTACAAGCATGAGTTATTGGCGCCCAGCTCAACTTCTTTTGAATATTGGAAGCAACCAGAGAACGCTGAAGTATTTATATTGTGGTCTGTGCATCAAATCTCTAGTCTATCTGAAGGTGTAACGTGCCATGTCAAGTGTGTATTACCTGGCTCTCATAACACCCTCCTTCCTTTTCCTCCCACTCTCCCAGGCATAACTACTTCACACCTCCAGGATGGCAATACACTTCCGCACACTCTTACCTTTGGCATTGCCTGGAATGTTGGTGATCCTTGGCTGGTGGTGGTTTTTCTCTCGGAAAAAAGAACAGATCAGCAGCAGTGACAAGTCAGCAGAGGCTGGTGCTGTAGCACGGAGGGCTAGCCCTGTCATCAAGAAACAACTTCCCATGGAAGAGTCCTCTCCTGGAGTTGTGATTGCACCCCACAGTGTCACACAGTCGCTGGAAAAGGAACAGTCCCCTGCAGGCATGCCTTCAGGGGAGCCCTCAGCCGTGCTGCGGATGCACGTGGTCTGTCGTAGGTCAGAAACCTCAAGTAGCCTTCCTAACACCATAGACACGAGATTGCAGCCAGGAACTCTCAGAGACGACAGTGCGAAGGTGGAACTCTCCCTGATGGGCGATGAAGTAAAACCTGTTCCTCCCGAGCATCCCTTCCCACCCCCAAAGGATGTACCATTTCCCCATGAAGCAGCTGACATGGGCAAGCAAGAGCCTGAGCTGGGAAAGGCTTCAGGGAATGGCTGGCCCAGCCAATCTATGGTTCCCGCAGAGAAGCGTGGTCCTGGAGAGAAGGCAAGAGAGACAGGTGGGGCTGAGGGGACTGGCGATGCAGCATGGGGAGAGAATGTGCATGAAGAAGGTCTCTTATCCCAGGAGCGTGTCCCAGAATTGGAGAGCAGTAAGGTCCTTGGCCTGGCTCCCTTGGGAGGTGGGGGAGAGAAGGGGAGCAGTGGCTTTCACCGAGCGGGCAGGCACTCGCAGAAGGAAGAGCGCGTAGTTGGAAAGACATTGAGCAATGTGGAGTCGGCTCACCCAGAGCTGGTGAAGGAGGAGACCCAGGTCACCCAGATCAGAAATGGCAAAGTCTGTGACAGAGAAGTAGGCAAAGAAGAGACGGTGGGTAAAAATGAGCAGATTGAAAAGGCTGCCTTCCAGATCATCTCCCAAGTGATCTTGGAAGCGACTGAAGAGGTGCTGGCTAGCACAGAAGGCAAGATGGCAGACCAGGTGCATCAAGCCTTCCCCATCCAAGCCCAAGGGCAGGAGGAAGAGAGCTGGGCCTCAGCCAGCCAGAAAACTCTCCTGGGGCAAGACGCCACAAAGCCTGCTACACCCACAGCAGGGACAGCCACCAGCCCGCTAGACACTTCCCTGGCCTCACCCACCTTGCTAGCAGAGGACCTGCTACCACCAAAGACCTATGTGAGCTGCCTGAGCAGCCCTCTCTCCAGCCCCACTAAGGAGGGGAAGCCAAAGAACTCCGCACACCACATCTCCCTGGCGGCCTGCCTACCACCAGCTACGCCCTCGGTAGAGTCAGTGGAGGAGACGAGCATCCTGGGAAGAGATGCCACGTGTGTCACCTGTATGTCGGGCAACACCCAGAGTGTTCCTTCTGTGGCCTCCTCTGGGCAGTGCTCAGATTCCCTCAGCCCTTCAGGGCTTGACGGCAGTTTCACAGAGAACAACTCGAGCCCCAGGGACAAGGCCATTAGCCCGCCACTGCCAGACAGTACTGGGCCCTTCAGCAATGGGGTGCTGAAGGGGGAGTTATCAGACTTGGGGGCTGAGGATGGATGGACCATGGACGCGGAAGGAGATCACTCGGGAGGTAGGAGGGCCTTGGGTGCTCGCTTGGAGAGTCAGGGGTCTCCCTTTACTCATTAGGGAAAGAGGGCTGGCCCACCTGCCCCTCCCTTCTGTACTTCCACAGCAAAGTGATGGTGCCTTCAGCTCTGTCCCAGCTGCCTGCAGATGTGGGTGTGGCAGAGAGCCTGAGAAATCAGGCTGCCCCAAGACACCAAAGCCTTGGGGGGGCTGTCCTTTGATTTCGCCAGCCAGGGAGCCTCCCCAGCCCATCAGAAGGAACCAGCTTAGAGTTGGCTCCCCGGGGCAGCCTCAGAGCCTCTTCTGTTGATGCTAACCTCTTACTGGGCTTTTCATGGAGAGGCCCTCCTTAGTTTTACCTCCCCCAGTGCTGGGGTGGGCAAGTGTTTCCTGATGGCTGACCTCCTTTCCTCATGTGCTTGTCCCGTGTCTTCACCTGCTCTCCTCCTCCAGAAGCTCTCCCAGGGTAAGTGCCCCATGGACGGCCACAGCTTTGAGCGCTGGCAGGAGGCTGAGCCGCCTTGGGTTGTTGCTGTCACCTCCTCCTCCGCAGAGCCTCAGCCATTTTCTCTCTGTGCAGCTGCAGCTCCACCCCGGGAGAGAGAGGGCACTTGGGTAACGAAGTGTCCACTGGGTTTTTCGAGTGCTGACCCCAGCGTAGACAGTTCAGCCTGCTAACTTACAGGTCAGCAGCTCCTGACCCTGCTTTTGCAGCTCCCCTGGGGTATTTTCATTGATCTCATGGAGGATGCCCTGACCTCTCCCCCGTAGCTCTCCGGAGTGTTGGTCCCGGAGCAAGTCCCTCGCACTTCAGCTCCATCGGGGAAGCTTCCTTGGGTGTTTTACTCCTTTCAACAACATCTGATGTGGAACACTGCATTTTGTCACCCTGAGATGCTGTTGGTTAAGACCGCTAATAGGTTTCACAACCTCTAAAAGAAAACAAATGCTGCCAGTCATGATGATGGAAGACCAGATACTGTAAGGTCTATCCTGACTAATGTCCAGGAACTTCATATGTTTTTAAAAAAGAATCCCATCTTCAGATGGGCGAAAAGAAAGTTTTGTGGTCTTTTTCTTCTTCTTTGCCTATTGCTTTTAACCTTAATTAACAAGCCCTTTAGCCTTGTCATGCCAACTCTGGATTGACAACAGAAGCTTCACAGATGCTTTGAGGACTTCTGGCTTAGCTCTGCAGAAAAAGAAGCTATAGAATCCAAGCACTTGGGTGCTGTTGATCACGAGTTTGGGGCCAACTGAGCCAGCTATCGAGCAAGACCCAGTTTCACCCTCAAAAGATCAAAGGAAGCCAGGCACCAATGGTTCACACCTTGTAATCCTAGCTACTCAGGAGGCTGGGATCTAAGGATCAAGGTTAGAAGCTAGCCTGAGCAGAAAAGTCTGTGAGACTCTTGGCACCACTAAACTATCAGAAAAGCCAGAAGTAGAGCTGTGGCTCAGGTGGTAGAGAGCACTAAAATCAAAAGAAGCTCAGGGACAGCACCTAGGTCCTGAGCTCAAGCCCCAAGACTGGCACAAACAACAGAAGATGAAAGGAAGGAAAGGAGGAACTGAGAGGTTCAGGAATCGCTAATCAGTGAAAGCTTGGTGGCATCAACCAGTGAGCCCTTAGTGTGTACTGGGCACCAGGCGAGTGTCATGTTAGTCTTAGTCCTGCGTGGTGTGTGAGGAAGTTGAAACAGGGATATGAAGACTGTCCAGCTGAGAGAACTGGTAGGTGGCTTGTGAATGCAGCCTGCTGAAGGCCTGGGCCTCTCCTGGGTACCAGTAGAGTACAAATACTGACCATTCCTGTTCTGTTGAACAAAACAGGGCCTGTGAATCGGAGAGCCCCCCTCCTCCCCCAGCCTGATTTGTTTCCAGCAGTCTGGCCATGGACCCTATTCCAAGACCCTCCACTCCCAGTGTTAAGGGAGGTCACTTTGAAGGTGACTATTAACTGGAGTAGAGTCCCTTTCAGTCTTAGTTCTTTGCATCCAGGCAGCACATGGATTGCTTGGTGAAAGATTATACCCAGGGTTTGGGAAAACCATGTAATAATGACCTAATTAGTTGACTCTCAGGAGTGATCTATTTCTGGCCAGTTAGTCGTCCATGTTTAAGCTGGCTCCACTTCCCTTAAGCTGCTCTGGGCCTGTTTTTTTTTTTTTTCAGTGGTCCCTTTGGCATGCCTTGGGCAAGAGTAAAACAGCTCAAGTTGGCGCCAGAGTCCTGCTCCCTCATCCTCTGAGTGTTTGCTCAGTCTTCGGACCAGGGAGAATTTGAGTAGTCAGAGCTGCACAAGCTCAGCCTAAGCACAGGGAAATGTCTGCCTTACTTTTGTCTGTCCACATCTGGCAGAGAGACAGAAACAGGGCCCTCAGGTAGCGAGGGCTTTTGTCTTGCTCCCATCACTGGAGTCGGCTTGGGGACTGATAACTAACTATTGGTCCTAAGGACTGGGAAATGTGGGAAGATAGAAGGAGAGTTGTGACCCAGTCCTGGGACCGTGTGGATCTGTGGGCTGTTTCCCACCCACCTCCAGCCCTGTGAAGTCCCCTCCCTGGGCGCGCAGTCTGGCTCTTCCCACTTGTGTGTCTGCTCCAGCAGCTGTGGCTGGGCGCGGCTGCCAAATAAGCAAGTGGGACCATAAGTGACAGGCTAAAATTAGGTGGATGGGTACCCCAGGCCTCCTTTCATTGGGTTTTTCTAGCTTTCTAGACTGCCCAGTTTGAGGAGGGGGTGTGGGGCGGGCCTCTTTCCTCCTGTAAGGGGAGTTTGAGGCGGTGTGGGTATTGAAGGCTCTGAGCCGGGTCTGTGTGCGCCTGCCGCCTCCTCCCCTGCAGGCTCTGACAGGAACAGCATGGATTCGGTGGAGAGTGGGTGTGGGCTCAAGAAGGCCGACAGTCTCCAAAATGCCCAGGCAGATTCCAACCCTAAGAAGGTGGACCTCATCGTCTGGGAGATCGAGGTGCCCAAGGTAAGAATGGCGGCAGCCACGCAGGCTGGATTCTGCTGGGAGTTCAAACTTCCCTTGTACAGGGGCTGTTGGACTTGGAGGAAGCACTGGAATGGGCAGGGAGCCAGAGATGTGCATGCGTGCGTGCGTGTGTGCGTGTGTATGTATGCACGTGTGTGTATGTGTATGTGACACCTTGTTGAGTACAGAGTGAGCTGGAGGTGCCTTCAAGAAGAGCATGTGGTCCTCGTCCTCTTCTAACTCACAGCCCTGCCCCGATCATTTGTAAATAGCAAAAACCAGCCTGAGTGCTGGCAGATGAACACCCTGTGTCCCAGTCTAGCATTTTCTAACTGTGCAAAGCATACACAGAGCTTTAGAGAAGTTGAAAACTATAGAAATAGATAGAAATAGACTCAGATTCTACCCCTGAGAGAAGACTTCTATTTCCTCCTCATCTTGCACCCTGCGGTTTTTAAACAAAACTGAGGTGGTGGTGTTTTGGTTAATAACTTTTAATTATTTCAGTCTTGTTTTCCTATGTTATGCTTTGGAAATGTAATTTGAACTGTTGGTTCTGTGTGCTCATCTCATTGACCTCCAGTTCCTGAGTGGTTTCTAGCACCTTGCTGTTCTAACTTCAAACATTGTGTCAATTTAGACCTTTATGGTTATCTCAGGAGCTTGAAAGAAGTGGTACTTTCTCCCAGGGCCCTTGGCTCTGGGCTGCAGACGAGGCCTGGCTTGGTCTGAGCTCTGGGTTAGGAAGGTTGTGCTCTCCCTGAGCTGCTGGCTCCTGTGGCGTTCCCTCTCCGTGGCCTTGTTAGGAGTCTTGTCCTCAGTGGTTGTAGAGGTCACCCAAGCCAGGCTCTGGATGAGGCTGGCCGAGTGCCTCCTGCCCTGCTGGGCTGGGGTCGTCCGGGATATGTTTGAGAGCCCATGTTACATCATGGCTAAGTTTGGCTTTCCCTGTCTGCTGTGAACTCTGGTGCACTGGGCACTTGTGCTCTGTAGGCTCCAGCCTTCTGTCCCTTGGCAGCAAAAGCCCAAGGGTTCTTTCATTTTCATGCCAGCTCCTTATCTTTGGCGTGAGTAGGCTTGAAGAAGTCAAGAGTGGACCCTCCTGCTGGTGAAGCTGCTCATGGGGTGTGAGGATAGAGCTGCTGCCTTTGCAGCCTTCTGGTGTGGGCCACATAATGAGTATGAAATGGGAGCTGGGAGATGCTGTTAGACTCTCCCATTATTAATATGTTTGAGCATGACCTCGTGGGAAGTAAAAGTAGGTCTTTGGGGTGGGGGATTGGTTTTCTATTAGACCTCTCATTCCTTTTCCCTCCTGGCAGCACTTGGTGGGCCGGCTTATTGGCAAGCAGGGCCGCTATGTGAGTTTTCTGAAGCAGACGTCTGGTGCCAAGATCTACATCTCCACGCTGCCTTACACCCAGAACATCCAGATCTGCCACATTGAAGGTCAGTGGCAGGCCTGTAGTTTTCTTAGCTGAAAGGTAAGTATACAGGAATGGGGGGGGGGGGGGGGCGGTCCTGACTGCCAGGCTCTGGACAGGACAGACAGTGCTTCCTATTCCAGGTGGAGGCAACATGGCATGTCTTCCCCACCTTAGGCTCAGCTCTCTGGCCAAGGTTCTGGGTCTCAATGCCTGTCACCATGCAGAGTGAAGAGCCTACTGGTTGAGGCAGGCTGGCTCTTTGTCACCTGTCAACCTCTTGTATTCAAAGCATGGGTAGAATGGCAAGGTATTACTTTTAAAAGATAGGAGTTAGAGGATTTTTTTTTTTTGGGGTCGGTCATGGGTCATGGGGCTTGAACTCTGGGCCTGAGCGCGCTCTCTCAGCTCTTCAGCTCAAGGCGAGCGCTCTGCCACTTGAGCTACAGCGCCACTTCCGGTTTTCTGGTGGTTTATTGGAGATAGGAGTCTCACAGTCTTTCCTGCCTGGGCTGGCTTTGAACCATGATCTTCAGATCTCAGCCTCCTGAGTAGCTAGGATTATAGGTGTGAGCCACCAGTGCCTGGCGAGTTCCAGGATTTTTAAAGCATAGCATTTTGGTTCTTTAAAAATTCCCTTGAACTCTGCAGGAGGGGAGAATTTGTTTGTTGTAACTTTTTTCTTTTTTTTTTTTTGCTCCACATTTTATTTTTTTATTTATTTTTATTGTGAACATACTGTACAGAGGGGTTACAATTACATGGGCAAGATAATGAGTACTTTTCTTATCAAGCATTGTAGCCTCCTCCTTGTTTTGTTGTAACTTTTTTCTTGCCCTGTCTTCATACCCGTAGGCTCCCAGCATCACGTGGACAAAGCTCTGAGCTTGATTGGAAAGAAGTTTAAGGAACTGAATCTCACCAATATCTATGCCCCTCCATTGCCTTCCCTGGCGCTGCCTTCCTTACCGATGACATCCTGGGTGAGCATGCTCCCAGCGGTCGGGACTTGTTGTGCCCTTCCCCCAACCCACCCCAGTGAATCTCCCCAGACTGTGGACCAAGGAGGACATGAGCACATGACTGCCCCCGCCTTTTCACCTTTCGGCTCCACCAATCAGTTCTGCCAGGGGGTGTTCTCTGGGGATAGGGTAAACTGCTAGCAAGACGCCAGGGCCTCTTAATCCCCTTGTGGGAATATCAGGCCTCCTCTGCCACCAGAGCACATTTTCTCTTTCCTAGGTATTTGCCTCAAATGAATTATAGTTAAGGCAGCATACTGGATGTGTCCAGACTGGTGTGGGGTGCCTTAAAGCATTTGAGGGCTTGGATGAATGCTGCAATGGGTCATTCTGGTCCTTTTCTAATTGAGCTGGGCTGAGTAGTGGTCCTGATGAAGGATTTGATTCCTCTTCCCTGTCCCTAGAATTTCTTACATTATCTTCTGGAAACAGTCTCTGACCCAGGAAACCTGGGAGTTTGGCAGGAAGAGAAGTTGACAATTGCAGGGCCCCTGCCCCTGGCCAGGCCTCTTCTCACTAGGAGGAGCCTTGCAAGCTCTGCACTGCCTGTTACACGGATGGCTGAGCATGCTGCTTTGGGATACTTGCTCCCGTGGGTTCTGTTTAGAATGGTGGGCGCTTCCGTCCTTTCCTACCAGACTTCTGCTGTGGGCTGAACCCTATCTGTGTTTTCCTCCTGAGTTAGACTAGTATCTCAGGAGAGTCAAGGGCCCAGGAGGCTTGGCCCTTGACTTTCTTCTTAAATAATGGGGTGGTTTGTATATAGGTGGTTTCTTGGCTCAGTGGGGCAGGAGAAGAGACCTCAGGTAGATGTGGGTCCCCAGGGTTGGGTGGATATATGGGGGTCTGAGGAATCTCTTCTCCCTGGGGCCAACTAATGTACCCATAGCCCTTTCTGCCTGCAGTTTGACATGGAAAGACCAGGAGTGGCCTCTGTTAGGACCTCTACCATAGGGCTTCGCATGTCTACCTGCCAAGACCCAAAGGCAAATGAGGTGGGAGAAGTGGAGTCTGGGGAGCAAAGGGTTTGGGAAGTGAAAGCAAGTGCAGAACAAATGAAACACCAGCTCTGGCAGATGTTGAGGTGCAGCTTGTTCTTCCTAAGGCAGATAAACTGTCAAACCTTTTGCTAGGGTCAGCTACAGGTCCAGAGGGGCCTGAGGACTACCTCCTGCCCTCTTTGCCTTCCTTGGGTCTTACAGACTCATCAGAAGCAAAGGAGCTCGGGGACAGCACTCAGGTACCTGAGTTCAAGCCCCATAACCAACAAAGAAAATTTTTTAAAAAGAAGAGGAAGGAAAGCTCTGGGGACTGGGACCCTGCCCAGCCTTGTGAGAGGCCATGGGGTTCCTGGTCTTGCCCTAAAGTGAGGCTGCCCCTAATGGCTGCTCACGGTATTGCAACATGACAGCCACTCCTGGGGAAGTAGACTTGGCCCTGGTCCTCAGGGCTTATCCCAGACCTGAGAAGAGATCTGAAGTAGCATTGGCCGCTTCTTCCCGTCTACAGCTCATGCTCCCTGATGGCATCACTGTGGAGGTGATTGTGGTCAACCAGGTCAATGCTGGACATCTGTTTGTACAGCAGCACACACACCCCACCTTCCACGCCTTGCGCAGTCTGGACCAGCAGATGTACCTCTGCTACTCTCAGCCTGGGATCCCCACCTTGCCCACCCCAGTGGAAAGTAAGTGCTGTCCTGGAGTATGGGTGGGTAGTGGAGGTGTGTCTGGGTTGTGGCCAACTAAGGAGGTGAGTCTGGGCATTGTTTTGCTCTCAGTCTTGACCTAGGTGGAAGCTGGTTTGGGATCCCTTATGGGCCAGCATCCTTGAGTTCCTCCTGCACTGTCATGGAGTCCTGTTGTGTTGAGTTTCCTGGCTCAATAAAGCTAGTTCTTCTGTTGACTGAAAGCAATGCGATTGGAGTAGAGTCTTGACTCATGAGTTCAAATCCAAGCCCTTCCAAATACCCCTTAACAGGTGGCATTTAGGCTTGTGCACCAGCGTGTAGAGTTGACTTGTGCTATATGTGTAATATGTAAAGTACTCCATATATATTTTTTTAAATAATGAAAGACCCTAAGCCCAACAAACCCATGTAGTAGACTCGGTAATCTCTACGTGGCAAGCAAGGAATCCAAGCCTCTGAAATCAGGTGTCTTGCACAGGTAGCACCTGAGAAGGAGCTGGGACCCAAACCAACTTTTGTCACTGTTGTTGCTTTTGTCCTTGGGGAGTGAACATCAGAACATTTCTCCAATCCCCTAAAGACTACAAACATGAGTTTCTCGGATGGGGAAAAGGTTTGAGGCTGTGTGAATTTTTTTTTTTTCCTCCTCCATTAGGAATAGTAGAGATTTTTGCTCTCATCAGATCCTCAACTTTGCAGTGAAAAACCCAAACCAGAGCACAGGCTCTCTTAATGCTCAGGACTCAGTGGGGTCAGCCCTGTGTCCCTCTTCTGGGTGGCCCTCACACCATAATTTTACCTGCCCTTGCTGCTCCAGGAAGAGACGGGTAGCCCTTGGAGTGCAACCTTTTGGGCTGTCTGGGCTACCTGTACCTCCTAGGGTGAGGATGAGGGCGTGCACTTCCAGCCAGGCCCCTATTTGAGCTGAGCAGACTATAGGTGCTGGGCTACCAAACTCTGCTACTTTTGGAGAGTGTTGATTCTTTCAGAGACTTCACCTTAAGGGCCAGGCAGGCCTGTGCTTTGTGTCCTCGCTTTTGTATTTTATTTGGCCTGTTAGAGTTACCGCCCTCCTAGGCCTTGGTACAATGCAGGGTCATGGATCTAGGTTGTGAATACCTTTTGGTGTGGCTAGCTCTGAGGATTGCCATCTGCTAGGCTGGATTTCCTGTGGCCAACTTTCCCAGGTTTCATCTTGTGTTGCTCTGGTCTCCTGCCTGTGGAGGTTGTGGGCCTCTGAAAATAATGCGGAGAGACTGTGCCAGTGATGAGGGAGAGCCCTGGTGCCCTGCCAGGGCCAGGGGGGTCCACATGCCCTCTTCCTGCCTTGCAGTAACAGTCATCTGCGCTGCCCCTGGTGTGGACGGGGCCTGGTGGCGAGCTCAGGTGGTTGCCTCCTACGAGGAGACCAATGAGGTGGAGATTCGCTACGTGGACTACGGTGGATATAAAAGGGTGAAAGTAGACGTGCTCCGGCAAATCAGGTGAGTGGAGCCTCCCTGTGTGGTGTGTAGTGCGTGGCGTCCGTGCTGTCAGGCCTGGGGTGAGGCCTTACCCTTCCCTCCTGGTGGTGGTGTCCCCGTGATGAGCAACAGGTAGATGTGCATCCCGGCTGGTGGAGGAGTCAGTCCTGTCGGTCTCTTTCTTCCTCTCTAGGTCGGATTTTGTGACCTTGCCATTCCAAGGAGCAGAGGTCCTTCTGGACAGTGTGATGCCCCTGTCAGGTAACCCATGCGGCCTCTGGTGGGGTGGGCACTTGGTGACCGTGGTCTCCCCAACAGCCCTATTCACACAAGACTTGGTGTGCTACTATCAGTCACTGGTGAAGTAGGCCTTGGGCTGAGGCTTGAGAACTTGCATTTCTCACAGGTTCCCAGGTAAAGCCGGTGCTGCTGTGCTGTGGGCTGCCCTTGGGGGTTGGACCTCCAGCAGGCACCTGCGGAGCATAGTCCAGACCAGAGAGGGTAGGCATGAGGCCAGCTGCACTGCTCAGCCAGGTCACAGCTTCTTAGGGCAGAGTTAGGGCCATGCCAGCTCTCACCCTGTCTTCCATAAATGTGTTGATAGAAGAGGGCTGGCATTATCAGCCTCTATTTTCCTTTCTGGGAAATGGGGGTGGCACCTGTGGAGAATAGGTGGCTAGCGAGCAGCCGCTTGGCTGTCAGTGGGCATCTGCTTGTCTGTCACCTTCCTAAGCGGCTCCCAGGGTTTTCTCCTTTAGATCAGATTCTTGCTAGGCTAAAGCAATTCATATGAAACATAAACACTGGTTTGCTGGAGTCATGGCAGACATTCCATGGGGGAAAGTTCTTTGTTCTGTTTTCCTTCCTTGCTCTTTCCCAACCTTCTGTCCATTTGTCTATCTAAACAATTTGTCCAGAGCCTCTGAATGCTTCTTTATTTCCCTCCCTCCCTCCCTCCCTCCCTCCCTCCCTCCCTTCCTTCTTTCCTTCCTTCCTTCCTTCGTCAGTCCTGGGGCTTGAACTCAAGGCCTGGGCACTGTTCCTGACCTCTTTTGCTCAAGGCTAGCACTCTACTCTTTGAGCCATAGCTCCACTTCTGGTTTTCTGATGGTTAATTGGAGATAAGAGTCTCATGGATCTTCCTGCCTGGGCCAGCTTTGAACTGCAATCCTCAGATCTCAGCCTCCTGAGTAGCTAGGATTACAGGCAAATGTGTCTTCCTTGATCAGACTTTTCCCCTACCTTCACAAACTCCAGCCTCCCATGCTTATCACTCCCTGCCGGGGCCATGTTATTGAGTGCTACTGTTAGTAATCCAGCCCAGCTTAATGGTCCTTGATACCCTGCCCTGTCTCACTGACTGGCCTATTGGGCTGGCTGCCTGGATTTGAATTCCACTGCAGCACTCTGGGAGTTGTTGGCCTTTAGTGATTGGCCTATGCCAACCTGTGCCTGTAAAGCAGGCACAGCACCTGTCCTCCAGGGTGTTGATTTGTACAGCATAGTTGATCCTAAAACAGGTGAGAGTGAGGCTAGGGTGGGGCTGCCATGGAAGGCAGTTTCTGTCCTTGGTTTTCCATCCTGGTAGAGAGATCAGAGCAGCATGCATCAGAGACTGTGCCTATCTACTTGTTGTAGGGACACCTAAGGCCTCTCTGACCCACATAGCTCTCCCAAGTGCCGTTTTCCCATCTGGCGCATCTAAAGCAGCTTACTTGTAATACAGTGCACGTTATGTATGTGACAGGTAAACCTTTGCCCTGGTGAACATCTAAATACTGCTTTTCCTTCTTCTAAAGATGACGACCATTTTTCACCTGAAGCAGACGCAGCTATGAGCGAGATGACGGGAAACACAGCACTGCTTGCCCAGGTATGTGATTAGGAGTGGGCGAGCTGGACACAGAGGGTCAGCGGGGCTTCGTGTCTCATTCCGTTAAGGATCTGGCTTCTTGGGACTTGACTTTTTTTTTTTTTTTGGTAGGTCGTGGGGCTTGAACTCCGGGCCTGGGCCTGTCCCTCAGCATTTCAGCCCAAGGGTAGTACTCTACCACTTGAGCCACAGCACCACTTCTGATTTTCTGGTCTTTATTGGAGATGAGAGTCTCACAGGCTTTCCTGCCCAGGCTGGCTTTGAACTGTGATCCTTAGATCTCAGCTTCTTGAGTAGCTAGGATTACAGGGTGAGCCACTAGTGCCTGGATTGGACTTGACTTGTATTATTTATACTAGGATTTAACTCAGCCCCATACTTTCTAGACAGTGCTGTACTATTTGTGCCATGTGCTTAGATCTTTCTGCATTAGGCTTTATCTTTCTGCATTAGGTTTTTTTTTGTTGTTGTTTTTAAAGATAGCTCTCCTGCTTTTTTTTGTTGGGGCTGGCATCAGACCATAGTCTTCCTACCTATGCACCTGCCTGGGGTGCATAGCTGGGGTTACAGGCATGAACCACCATACCTGGCTTGTTTGTAGCAATGGGAATCTTGTTAACTTTTTGCCCAAGATGGCCTTGAACTTTGGTCTTTTTGATCTCGGCTCTCTGGATAACTGGCATGACAGGCTGAATAACTGGCATAGGCGTGAGCAACTGCCTGTAGGTCTTAGAGTGGTTAGCAGGCTTGAAAAAAGAAATACATAAATCAGGCATGACCCACACCTGTCATCCCATCATTTAGGAGGCTGAGGCAGGAGGATCCTGACTCTGAGGCCAGTCTGGGGTAAATCATGAGATGCTGTCTCCAAAAAAGAAACTACATGACGTAGCTTTTTAAAACCATGCTTTCCACATCCCCTACCCTAGGTGACAAGTTACAGTCCAACTGGCCTGCCCCTGATCCAGCTGTGGAGCGTGGTTGGAGATGAAGTGAGTCTGCCCTTTTCTGTCTGCGCTGCCACCAGCAGGGCTAGGTTGTGTGCAGGCCAGTGCTGGCATTGCTTCCTCCTCACTAGTCACTGGCCTGGCTCTACACCGGGCCTGCAGGCAACTCTGAGTGCCACGACACGGGGTAGCAGTGTCATCCAGGGGGTGGCAGCCAGGACTGTCCAGCCCATAGTTGCACTCAGGTCGAGATGGGGAACCTGGCTGTGCACCTTCCAGCACCTTCTGTCAGTTTGGTTTTCCTGTCATCCTTGTAGTATCTAAGCCTAGGTTTTTGTGTATTAAAACGTCATTGCTCATGCCGAATAGCACCTGGACACTTACGTAGGAGTCCTGGTTGGAGTCAGGCTGCGCATGTATATATTTATCTGTTGCCTGATAGGTGCTGAGGGGCGGGGGAGGGAGGAGCCGTGTTGGCTTGGGGGATGGTCCCAAGGTGCCAGGAGCAAAGTCCTTAATGAAACTTTCGGTTTTCCAGGTGGTGTTGATAAACCGGTCGCTGGTGGAGCGAGGCCTTGCACAGTGGGTCGATAGCTACTACGCCAACCTTTGACCCTAGCCCCCAAAGCCACTTCTTGAGTCTTTTTTTGCACTGTTGGAATTTGGCTTGGCCCTCGAGACAAAAGATTTAACATCAGAGTAACAACAAACATTGTCTTTGCGGATCCTCTTTGCCCCCCTGTTCTGTATTCTGTTGAAGACGCGGCTCCTTGCAGAGGAGCGGTGGGTTCTCAGAGCCCTAGGCCGGTGTTTCGCAAGCCAGCTGCTTTCTCCTCAGCTCTCAACGGTTTCAAAGGAAGTGAAGGGAAGCATCTCCGCCGGGTTGCCTGCGCTCCTCCGCGCCCCCCTTCCACACCCGCACACACTGCAGGCCAGACAGGGCAGGCCTGTGACTCGCCTGGGAGGGTTTCTTTTGCTTCCGTCTTCCTTCAAGGAGCCAGACATGAACTGAATGGTATGGATGCCCTGTGCAGCTCACACAAATGAAGTGGTGGCGCTTAGCCCGTTTTTACATATTTCCTCTAGGTCTGTAGGAACCCAGACTTTTTAATGCAGATGTAAATACAGAGCAGTGGTCACACCCGGCCCTGCTCAGGGGCGGGGAACGATAATCTTGCCAAGCCTGGTTGTAATTTGTAACCATTTTCTATTTGTGCAAATATTGTGTAAATATATGTTTAAAAAAATGTAATATTTTGTATAAGACACACTGGAGAACAAAGGGAACGCGAGGTTTTCCACGTCACACACTTGGCTGGTAAGTGGAAGCTAGTCGTGGAGTGGGACGCGCTGCCAGCTCCCGCAGCCGGGCCCACGGCTTCCTGCCTACCACATGGGGACTTGGGGACACGGGGACTGGGGATTGGGGACATGGGGTCTGGGTGGGATGGGCTATCAATTGGGGAGTTTTTGCTGTACACATTTGTTTAAAAAAAAATAACTAATTGAATTACCTTACAGTGGTATCATTTGATTCTTTTTTAGACTGGCTTCAGCATTGTGCAGTTTAAGGATAAGTAACTTAAGTAACTTGAACTTCTATAAATCTTGGAATTGTATTAACTGTAGCTTTGAGTCCATTTTTCTTCCCGTGGTATACAAAATGGGAGGTCGGGGAATAAAAAGGGGGGGGTTGTGTGTGATTGACTGGGGGGGAGGGCCGACTGTGCTTTCTAGGATCACACGAAAGGAGACCCCAGGTTTGGGGTGCGCACCCGTGTGTGCATGCGTGTGTGTGCTCACGTGCGCATGAGTGTGCAACAGTGCTGGGGCTTGAACTGAAGGCTCTAGCCCTTAACTTTTTTTTTTTTTTTGATCGGTTGTGGGGCTTGAACTCTGGGCCTAGGCGCTGTCCCTCAGCTCTTCAGCTCAAGGTGAGCGCTCTCCCACTTGAACAACTGCGCCACTTCTGGTTTTCTGGTGGTTAATTGGAGATAACAGTCTCATGGACTTTACTGCCTGGGCTGGCTTTGAATTGTAATCCTCAGATCTCAGCCTCCTGAGTAGCTAGGAGTACAGGGGTGAACCACCGGTGTCCAACTCCCTGTTTTTGGTTGTTTTTTTTTTTTTAATGCTGAAGGTTAGTGCTCTAACTCTTGAGCCGCACCTCCTCTTCCAGCTTTTTGCTGGTTAATTGAAATCGAGTCCCTCCTATTTATCTGCCTTCGAACCATAATCCTCAGATCTCAGCCTCCTAAATTGCTAGGATTAAGGCATGAGCCATCAGTGCCCAGCAGCCAAGTTCATTGAAGACTTTTTTTTTTTTGGTCTGGTTGTGGGGCCTGAACTCTGGGCCTGGGCGCTGTCCCTCAGCTTGAGGAATTGAACCCAGGGCCTCATGAATGCAAGGCAAGCGCTCTACCACTGAGCCAACTTCCCAGCCCATTAAAGACATTTGAGTCAGGAATCTTTGGCCTTGCTTCTCTCCTTTCCTACCAGGTGGCAGCTGAGCTCCTCACAGCCTGACTTGAGTGTAGGGCACTAGCCTCAAAGCCAGCTGTGCAGTCTTGGTGTCCTGGTAGACACATGGGGTTGTTGAGTTTGCTGTGGTGAGAAGTGCACTGTGAAGTAAGAAGCAAAGTTGCCTGAATGCCTCCCCTCTCAGGCAGCCCTTCCCTGCAGAGACAAGGCAGACATGAAAAGATTTGTTTCATCTAATGAGACAGGATCTCCACTTGGTGTAGCCCAGGCTGCTTTGAACTCAGGAACCTCCTGCAGCAGATACCTTAAGTAGTAGGATTGCAGGTGTGCACTACTATACCTGATAATCCCAGGGCTTTTGAGTAAGGCAGTGGGTATTTCAGGCTGTTTGTATGAATGTGGTAGAGACTAATGGGACAGGCCAGTCTTGTACCGTCCAATACAGAGCCACAGCCACCTGCGGCTCTGAGCTCCTGAGACATAGTCTGGACAGGTAGCTAGAAGTGTCAAGTGCACACTAGGTTTAAGTGGCTTAGCATGAAAAGTTACATAAACGGTTATGAGGTTTAGCTCAGTGGAAGAGCACTTACTTGCCTAGCAAGTGGAAGGCCCTGAGTTTGGTCCTCAGCTCAGGGAAAAAAGGTTCTAGTTCAGAACTTGAAATAGAATTTTCTTTTTTTAAAAAAGCTGAGTGCTGATGGCTCACACCTGTAAATCAGGAGGCTGAATGCTGAGGATCTTGGTTCAAAGCCAGCCAGTCCAGGCAGGAAAGTTTGGGAGACAATTATCAATTAAAACTGGAAGTGATGCTGTGTGGCTCAAAGTGATAGAGCACTAACCTTGAGCAAAAGAGCTCAAGGACAGCCTAGGTCCTGAGTTCAAGCCCCAAAACTGACCCCTCCCCCCAAAAAAAAGTAAACTAGTAGTTTTTGGGTTTGTTTGTTTTGGTCGGTCATGGGGCTTGAACTCTGGGCCTGGGCGCTGTCCCTGCGCTGTTCAGCTCAAGGTGAGCGCTCTACCACTTGAGCCACAGCGCCACTTCCAAACTAGTAGGTTTTAATGTCTGTTATATGCTGAAATTATATTGGGTTAACTATCACTAAAATTAACCTCCTTTACTGAAATTAACTTTCCCTATGTCTTGGGACCTTTTATTATGGTTCTAGCACTGATCTTACAAGCAGACTCAAATTATTCCCTCCCCCCCCCCTTTTTTTTTTTTTTTTTTACCAGTAGTGAGGCTTGAACTCAGGGCCTTGTGTTCATTGGATCCTTGCTTCAAACTGTGATCCTCCAGATTGCAGCATCCTGCATATCTGGGCTTATGGGTAGGAGCCACCAGTGCCTGACAGACCCAGGTTCACTTTCCTGCCCAGGTCCTTTATGTCAACAGGTCAATAGGCTTAGTTTTTCTTCTAGGTCAGCAGATTAGAGACATTTGCCCTTTGGCCCGGAGGCTACAAGCATCTCCTTTGTTCATGTTTTCAAAAAATTAATTTTTCACTTAAAATCAATCTCTCCTGTTTCAAATCTTTCCTTTGAGTAGCACAACTGGAGCATATGAAGCAACACGAGATGACTTCATGCTGCATAATAGAATTACTCCTAGAGCTGGGAGTTGTGGACTGACACCTGTAGTAATCCCTGCTACAAGGGAAGTTGGAGATAGGAGGATCGTCATCCAAGGCCACCCAGGCAAAAGGACTGGAGTATGGCCAAAGGGGCCCAGCACTTGCCTAGCCAGCACAAGGTCCTAAGTAAGTCTCCAGTACTACCAGGTCTGCCTGGTCTGGAATGCACCTCTGCTCCAGCTGCAGACCGTGGTATGGGGCCAGCTGCTCCTTTGTGGAGGCCCTGCCCCCCCAGTTGTCTTGAGGGCTGAATATTACCTTTCAGTGGCCATGGCCCCCAGCACACAGCTGGCCTTCTCACGACTGACCCAGTGATGGTTCGGAGCAACATCAGTTCTCTTCTGATGGCATTGTCAGCAAGTGGCATAATCACGCAGTATAACAAGAGTTCTAGAACCCAGCTCCCACAAGGGCAGCCCCAAACTCTCATGGCTAGTGCTGACCACTCCTCATCCATCCTGGGTGGATGCCCAATCCCCCAGCTTGTCCAGGAGTTTCCAGGTCACAAGAAGCTATCCCCTGTATGGCCTACTGGTCATTCAAAGGTATCCAAAATGAATTGGCCCAGAGGACTTATAAACATCAAAAGCAGTAAAATTTCTAGCAAATGGCGTCACATTTGCAGAACTCTGGGAAATGTATCAAAGCCCACAGCCATCCCGAGAAACATTTCTTTCCCTTCCCCATCCTCAGGATGAGTTTCCCTCCTAAATTCCGAACAGGGCCTTCCCTGAAGGATGAGAACTGAGCCGGCAACACCTCTCCACCTCCAGTCACCGAATCCTGCATGTGCCACCACAGGGCCTTGTCTCTGTCCCCCTGCGCATCTCAGACAAGCCCTTTTGGTAAATGGTCATGACTGCTCCAACCTCCATCTCCTCCATCTCCCACCCCTCCTCCTGTGGCAGGATGCTCCATTCTCCACTTAACATCCTTCCACACCCTAGTCTTTATCTTTCTTTTTTTGCCAGTCCTGGGGCTTGAACTCAGGGCCTGAGCACTGTCCCTGAGCTGCTTTTGCTTGACTAGTACTCTACCACTTGAGCCACAGTGCTATTTCTGGCTTTTTCTGTTTATGTGATACTGAGGAATCGAACCCAGGGTTTTATGCATGCTAGGCAAACCCTACCACTAAGCCACATGTCCAGCTTAACACCCCAGTCTTCACAGCTGTCCTTGGAGCTGTCCTGGGTGCTGCTCCACTCCTGGAGATGCTGCAGCCAGCAGCCCAGCAGCTCACAGCCAGGAGAATGGCCATGGTGGCCAACGGCAGCAGGGCACCTGGGAGAGTAGGGTGAGGTCCAGACTGCATGAAGCTGTGATAACTGCTCTGGGAGGTGAGGAGCAACCATGAGCTGGTCTTGGGGACAGCGTTGCTTTTTTTTTTTTTTACCACTTGTTAACCACACAAGGTAAGACCCAGGGCCGGAGGGAACTTGGATCCCCTCTTCAGTATGTAAATATCTCTCTCTCTCTCTCTCTCTCTCTCTCTCTCTCTTCCTGTTGGCTTGCTTCTGTGCTGCCTGGGCCATGTGTACCTAAGGATGTGATGCTCCTACATCATTCACAATCGTCCTACCTTGACCTACAAACAGGGTTGATGGGAGGCGAGTGGTATAAAGCATGTAAGCACCTGACAGGGCCTGGCACCTTGAATGCACTTGGGGCATGATGCCTTCATGCGCAGATGTGCCAGTGGGCACGCCACACTCTGCACTTCCTGGGCTGCCTGAGACCACTGAGCACTAGAAATTTGATTGGTCCAAATTGAGATGTACTGGAAATCTAAGACACTATAAGAAAAACCAAGCTGGGCATGGTGATTTATGCCTGTGCTCAGAGGCGGAAGGATTGTGAGCTTGAGAGCAGCCTGGGTGAAGCTAGACCCTATCTGAAGAACAAGCAAATAGGGCTGGGGGGTATATAGATTGCGTGGTATATATAGTGCCTGTCTCGTATTTGTGATTACCTGGATTCAAAATACAAAAAAGAAGAGACAAGAATGCTTACAAAATTCTCTTGAACAAGCTGGATGCTTTATGGCCCATGCCTGTAATACCAGCTACTCAGGAGGCTATTTGAGCATTGAAGCCAGCTGAGCAGAAATTTCCGTAGGACTCATCTTCAATAACCCAGCAAAAAGTCGAAAGTGGAGGTGTGGTTCAAGCATTAGAGCAGCAAGCCTTGAGTGGAAAATGCCACATGAGCCCAAGGCTCCAGAGTTCAAGCCCCAGTATAGGCACTTAAGTCTTGAACAGCTGCGTGCTGGTGGCTCACGCCTGTAATCCTAACTACTCAGGAGGCTGAGATCTGTGGGTCGCAGTTTGAAGGCAGCCCAGGTAGAAAAGTCCCGATAAGTGTCTTCCCCAGTTACTGAAAATGGAGCTGGTGCTCAAAGTGGTAGAGCACTAGCCTTGAGCAGAAGTGCTTAGGGACAGTGCCCAGGTCAAGCCTCACAACTGCAGGGGTTGGGGGGTGGGGAGTTGAACAGTAGGTTACATAAAATG